CACACTAAAAAGTTGGAACATGGGTTTTGATTAAAACATCTTTGGTTAAGTGAGCTACCAAAGAAGATTAACATACAGAGTTCATATTAAAACACACTAATCTAAGTATAATCGAGCGCGCACAAAAAGTCCGGAACATATTCCTCGATTACCATGAGTCTGCCATTTCTCACCATTCAATCGTCTTCTGTTTCTGTATGACGGGTAAATTTTGTAGTTACCGACTACAATAAACATTGATCGTTTAACTGATTTATTACAGTTACACCAAACTAATTTTTTAATAGAAGCTATTCATTAAGATTGCAAAAAACAGACTCCAAACTGAAAATCTTCTTCTCTCAATCATGTCTTTTGATCAACTCCCGAAAATTTACAATTAAGTATCCCAAGACGAAGTTGCAGAAATAATGAATATATAGCAAAGGGTACCTTGTATAGTTTCCATGTTATCTTCCTTATAAACTCCAAGAGGCGAACCGTGCACAGAAAGAAGAACCTCACCACACTTTGGAAGCCTTACGGTTTTGGGTGTTACTCCAACAGACAACCGATTATTATTCACCTGTGGATTATAGAACCAGAAAGGCAGAAAACGAGGTTATTATACGAGATTAGACATCTAAGAGAATCATTAGATACAATGGTTCAAATCTACCATAGGCTTATTAGCATCTTCTGAAGGAAATAATTTAGTTTTATTAAGTGTCGCTAGTTTACCAGCTAAAGCTTTCGACCAACTTCAAGTTTATCGTATAATTCTGATGAAAAGAACTGTGATCACTAAGGATGTGCTAATTATAGCAAATAATAATAATAATAATAATAATAATAATAATAATAATAAACTGAAATATTTACAGCTTTACAAAATAGCATACATTTGGAGTTTGCATGCCTCCATCCTTCAAGAGTGCATCAGGTGGCTCTTCAAAGACCTGGAACAGATAAAAAGCAAAATAAATGCAGCTAAATTTAAGAAATGAAACTCAAATTATTTTCAGTGCTAACCCTCAAAAGACTTGGATGAGAAATCAATATAAAGGCAGAGGCAAGTTAGAAATTAAGATAAGGAAATTCGTCAACTAAAGTTGAACAAGAACATACAAGACTCCTGATTTGCAGTTTATCAGCACCAAAAATGCTTGTTTTAACTGCAGTAACATGAAAAAACTGCATCAGGCATTTGGTTATAAAACTCAAAACAAACAAAAAGGGACTTAATAAAATACCAGATTTATTTGAGAACTCAAAGCCACCGGCCATAGAAGCGATTCCAGCAGAAGAGTAATCAGGATAAGCCATCGACAGCCGACGTAAAAGAGAAGCATGCAGTGTTCTTTCATCAGCATTGTTCAGTTCGTTTTTCCATTTAGCTTCACCAGATTCATCAATTAATAGGTTCGGAAAGTTTTCCCTAAAAAACTGCAGCACGGGAACCTGCAATTGGTCCTTGCTGAAGTTGGATTTGAGTAGCCGCAACATAGTCAGCAATTGTTCAATCTCCACATCACGAATAGCCCTGATTGCGGCACTTTGACGTTCAACTGGTGAAAATTTTGTTTAAAATCTGATAATCACAAAGGTATACAAAAATGGGTCTAAACCCGAAACCTATTTTAATCTATGCAAGCATGCTGGTTATTTCATTGAGTTGGACCATATTAAAAAATAATTACTCAGTCTATGTCATATTCCAATGTTTGACATTTCAAAATAACTCAACACAAATTTCGTTAACTCAGCAATGAGTGCAGCATATTTCCTATCACAATGTTCCTTATTTATGGCAAAGAGCACATTAGACATCAGTACTTTCATTTGTTAGTTCAACTGGGGATGAGAAAGCTCCATACCTATTTCACGCATCAATTGGAAAACAAACAGTTTAGTGGAACATTATTTCAACATGGGACATTCACAAAACTTTAGAAACCATTGTACAGTGAGTGATAATGGTTAAAAGCATAGAATGTCGATAAAATCACAGCCTAATAGATGATTTCTCTTCCCACACTTTGCTGACAACAAGATTTAGTTGGCATGCTCGTGCATAAACAAGAAATTAATCTAGGTATCTTAAAGATGAAATTAACACCTTCATGACCTTGAAATGCATCTTCATCCTTCTGTACCTCGACTCCATCTTGATTGCCATTGTCTTTGTCACTCACTTGTTTTTTAGGTCTGCCTCTTCGTTTAGCCATTGATGACTCCCTATAAGTAATATATATGTATGAAACAAAAAAATCATCTCTCACGTGGCATAACAACTCGTTAATAGATCGAAGAACCTAAACAGCAGAACAACTCGTTACTCGTCATAAATTACTCGACCTACGACATCAACAGCTAAAACTCAGACCAAATTGCCCAGTAAATACCCTTGAAAGGGAAATCTCTTTCTATCGCCCTCCGAAAATGTTAGTTTCTACAATGCCATTCACTAAAAAGAGAAAAATATAAAATTCTGAAGTCTGCAAGACAAATGTGAATTTCAAAAATTAATTCGCTAAAAAAAACCCCTAGTTAGATGGAATAAATTTTTTTGCCCAACCATAATCAACAAGAGCCTCTCTAATCCAGTATAACAAAACACAGATTTCACAAGGAAATTCGAGTTTAGTCATTTGGGCGATTTGGAGTCATACAAGTAGGGAGTAGGTATTTACCTCTTTGAAGCTTTGGTCGTTAAACCAAATTAGCCTCGCCGGATGCGAGTTGCCTTTCCGCCGGTCTGAGATGGACTGTCGACTGAATAGGGAAACTCTGTTCGGTATTTGGTGCTATTTCGTCTTCTTTTTCCGTCCTTTTTCCCTTTCAAATTCAGATTGAGGAAATAAAAAATCATTTTCCAGAAAAAAAAAAAAGAAAAAAATAATAAAAGATATAATTATTAATCAAACGACTCTTACCCGAATGAAAAAAATCACTATTTCCGAACTTATCAACTTTTAAATGTGTCTATTTGTGACCAGTGTTTTGATACGCGCATCGCCTCGCGTTTTGGTCCTTATATTGCGTAGTGTAAATAGTGTAAGGCATTACGTAAGTTATTCGAGTAGTTTTAATGCCAAAAATAATAATATATATTACCATACAAGTAAATAAATAATTGAAATAGTCTTAAACCATAAATTTGAACATTAAATCTAAAAAACAACATTCAAATATTAGTTCATACAAACAACCCAAAGTCATAATCTTCAAAATAAAAACTCAAAATCAAGTATAGAAAACTAAAGGAAAATATAATGAGCCTGAAATTGTGTTTATATAATAAGGTAGTTAAAACCTTTTATGGGAAAAAAGTTTGACTCAATACAAAATAAAGGACATTTCGAGATGAAGCAAGAATACAAGATATGATAATTCTTCATTTACTACAACCAGTTATTTAACAATAACAGAGCTTAAGCCCATACTGTAGTGATACATTACAACCAGTTTAACAATCAATAGAGCTTAATCCACCACTTTAACTTTAACATGACTTATTTAACAACCAGTTATGAGATTCTAAAGAAATTAAACTTGAATCAAATACGAATCACCACTTTAACAGAGCTTATTTAACAACCAGTTATGATATTCTAAAGAAATTAAACTTGAATCAAATATGAATCATATAAATGTAGTCTTCAAAACAACAACCTCAAGCAATCATTTATCTCACTCTATTAATTAAATAAATAATCATTCCAATTAAACCTAAAATTTAAATCATCAAATCATCAAGAGAATGAAGAAGAGGCCCAATTTCAATTTCAATTTCATAATCTCCAATGAAAAACAAAATGTTACCTATGGACTATGGAGTCAACCGAGGAGCAGGGGATGTCGGGTAGAGAGAGCCGAGGAGCAGGCACTTTGGGGGTGCCGAGAGCCGGAACTGCGCGAAATTTTAAGCGCCACAGCGCATTTTCAGTGAAATATGCACTATTGCGCGCTATATCGCGAAAATCTGCTATTCAAAACACTGTTTGTGACGTTTGATAATTCAATTAAGCATGCTAGTATAATATTAAATGTACTATTGTGCTCCAATTTTTTTAATTTACAACTATTTGTTGAGGGTACACTTCACCTAGCGGGTTTCCCTAAAGTAATTATTCGAAGGTTATGACCTGTATAACTTCGGCATCCATGCATCTCCAATTTAATGGACTATCTCGGAGGAATTCACCCATTCCTGTGGATTTCGACAATGTGATCCTATATCGTCTATCTTTTTGTAGCGCCCCGTTTGATATTGAATATTTCAAATATTATTATGTTGGCATTATTATTATTATTTGAATTAATTATCTAAGTGAATATTGCTCGATTTATATATATATATTGTTATATGGAGGCACGCTCCGGTGAGAAAGGTACTAAACGTCAGAAATAAGAATACACGATCACCACAGGATCAATAGGATTGGACGGACCGATAAGAGCAACTAAATATTCACGCCAAATCAACTAGCAGGGCAAGACGGTAATTTCGCGAAACACGCACAACGCGAGACTATAGCTGCGGGAATTCAGAACTGGGGGAAAATAAATAGGAATTGGATAATGAAAAACCCCTAGCTCGGCAAATTCGAGATCTTCGATGGGAAATTCAACCTGGATTATGCAATAGCTCGCATATTTCAAGGTTTCTGATCAATTATCAGGCATTCGAGATCGGATTTTTAGCGGTTGCATGAGCACGCCCCCTGATAGTGAGTGCCGGAAGCCAAGCTCGCCGGAATATAAAACTCAGATCCAACATCTATACTCTGTTATTGCCAACCTCACTACATATATCAGGTATATTAAACCTTAATCAAAATCTGAAACGTATTTCAGTTATTATTATACTAGTTCCAATCTACAACTAATATTCATACGTCGAATTTAGGGGCCTAAATTGCAGCCAGTACAGCCAGTCGGGCTCAACGAAGATCAGGTATTCATANCACATCAATGAAGTTACAAAACGATTGTGAAACCCATCTGGCCGAGCTGAAAACTCCGTTGTCGATTGAAAAATGTGCCTTATCTGTGTACACGACGACGATATTCTATCGTGTGCAGACAGAGATTTGTGATGCGTGTTTCAAATGTCGACTTACGAAATTGTCTGAACATGATGGATGCATGGAATTTACAATCGAAGACATTGGTGGGAAGACATTTACGGTGATGCACAATACGAGCCTAAATTCGTGCCAATGTTCCTGTAAGCACTTCGAGATGCACGGATGGCTGTGTAGGCATGCCTTTGCTGTTCTAAAGGATATGAACGCACCTGATATTCCACCCCCACACATCATGTCAAGGTGGACAAAGCTCGCTATTAGCAATCCTATGTTCCGTATACTCGACAACATTTCTGAAGAATGCGCACAAATTGACGAAAGGAAGACGATGGTTAATCAATTGTGGTCCGACATACATATATGCATGGGTTTGGTCGAGAATCGCATGGACCATCTTGTTGAATTTTCCAGGATAGTTGGGGCACATAAGCGAAAACTCATGGAAGATCGGGAGAGTGAATCATCGGGCAACGACAGGGGACATATCTTTGAATCGTTCGTCGGCATGTCCGCACCATCAGAGGTAAGCATACACCCGCCACCACAGTCGAAAAACAAAGGCAGTGGGAGAAGGATGAAGACCAACAAGGAGAAGTCAATTGAGGCGAGCAATAAAAAAAGGAGGCTTTGCAAGACATGTGGAGAGAGGGCGGGACACAACACGCGAACATGCCCTAAGAAGTAGTAAACTCAACATTTCACAGTCAGGTAAAATACCATTATATCATTCGGAAGTTAACTTGCCCGTACAACAATTAACATTACTATAATAATTGCTTCTTGATACAATGCTTTTCACTTTTAAATGTTTGTGGCTAAACAGGCCATTTTCTTTTGGATTTGTTGTTGCAACCTGGTGGCCTTCATTTGGTGTTATCGATAGTCGTAGATTAACATTGTGCATTACAATATTATTTTTTCACGTACGCATATTTCACAATGTACGGCAATCGATCACAAAAACTAATGTGTACGTGTTTACAATGCAGGTGCTGGGGACCTTCAATCGGAAGTGCGGGGGATGTCATGTTGTCAGCATCTATAGCATATGATATGCTTGGATTTATTCCATATTAATTACAGAAAAAAAAAATGTAAAGACACCTTTTTTTTTTTTATTTGTGCAAAGACACCAAGCTGGTGGTTACTATGTGTGCAGTCGGACGGATATTATTTGCGTCACGAGACTAATATCACAGACATGATCGTTTTGTTATGTCGTGTTTGCAATCATGGTGTTGTCGGACTTTTTAATTTCTTAGGTACTTTAATATTCTTTTATACTTTGGATAAGTACATGATGTAGCATGTGATATATAGCTAACTTCTTTTTTACGAATATGCGAAATAATTATTGTTCGTGTTGTGAACATTATAAATGAATCTGTATGTATTGTTCGGTCACGGATGCACAATAACACGTATGTGATGCACTCCACTCATGAACGAGATGCACCTTAAAAAATCCCGTTGAAACAACATCACCGGTTCGTGTAACAATACATCAAACCTTAATAAAGTGTCGTGACACAGCACATGCATGTTGACATACGACCCTTACTATCAGTTTGGTGTTATTAATCCAAAAAAATATCATGTAGTATATTTAATTATCGAGTGCACTCTACCATACACGGATGTGCACTTTATTTGAACCAACTATGCACTTTACAGCACATGTATACACAATATAAATATCAACGAAAGTACATAGTACACCAGTGAAAAAAAAACACTATTACTACTACTACCGCTAATAATGATAATAATAATAATAGTAATAATAATAATACTAATAATAATAATAATGATAATGTCACATGGTAGCATGTTGCACAATAACACATTCATTGTTGCACAACAGTGTGTAAAATATGCACTTTATATAAATTACGATTTTAACATGCATACACTACCATCAACAATGACGATCATTTTTTAAGAACCACTCGTCGATCTGCACACAATATAAATACGGTTAAAACACCAACCTGCCACGTGAAACCACCACAAGTACAAAATTACCCGATTAAAGTCCTACATGATTAATCATTCATCGATATTCACACGGTACCAACGTGAAATAACAATAGCAAAATAGTTCGATACCATCGATTTTCAACAGGCAGCATTGTCCACATAATACCAAAAACTACGTAATAGTCCACCAAGTGTTTCGTCACATACACATTTCGACAAACTTCAGCATCCGAATGGTATCAAAACGATGTCTAATCACAAAGCTGTCAACACCCAAATGGCTCGATAAAGTACCCATACTCACGCCCCTTTCTTTTCCATGTACACGGGTTGGTAGTTCGCTGCCTCTGTAAGGTTTGAGTCTTGTAGATCGTTATTCGGAGCACATGCTATGATGTAGCTATATCTCTTCCTCATAAGTTTCATCTGGCTCTTATCTACCGGCTTGATTTGTGGGTTCCAGCTTTTAGTAAAAACACCTTTAAATGTTTCCATATGGCGCATTGTGATTACGCCACTGTCTGCCATATCAGCACCCTCGGTCCAGGCTGGGCGAATGACTTCAGGAATAGACAGCCCAACGAGTTTGGATTTCTTTACCAAGTTCATCTCGCCTAAATACTTTGAGAGTGTTTCTCGCTGTGATAAACGGAAGACATCATCATTATAACACGCTAAACAAAAAATCATTCGATTACGTTATAAGAAAATTATAACATTACCAAAAGCTCGGCACGAGACAGGATTACTTTATCAACAACATTGTCTTTACGAGTACTTGCACTAATTAAGATGGTGAACTTTTGGGATTCTGGCACCATAGATATTAAGCCCGAAAAATTCGCTAAGTGCACAGGAAATAGGAACTGCAACAATAAATGTATAACGCAAATCATACATATGCATCTGAAATGATGTTGCAAAACAAGGAAAACATAACAAATAGCATACGAGTTTTTATTCGAGAACTCGATTACCGTGGATATCTGCTTTAAACGGTAGATGGACAGGCGTGTGATCTCGGAATCTAGTGTCTCTGCAAATTTCTTGTAACCAACATCCTTTTTACGCTTTCCGACATAAAACAGCTGCAAACGGACAACGCCAAAACACGAGCTGTTAATGCAATTAAACACATTGTAATCACAAACGAACACATGCTTACAACATTACCATAATATAAGTTACCGCACCTCAATACACGGTGATGTAGAGGCATAAAAACACGTAGCTGTGCTGCGACTCCTGAAGTTCTCGTTATAGTTCAGAATGCACGACCACAAGTCTAGGAGCTCCTTTGTGATGGGCGAATTTGGCAGCAAACACGTCACAACGTGTTTCTTCGCAGAATACTTGGAGGATTGGAAAATGACATCGCTAATCGCGTGCATAACAATGCATACGTTTTTTATATATACATATATCAAAGAAGTAACTCAGTATAACATGAAATGTATACAGATATAAAATCACACGTTTATATAATATTATAGACAATTACTGGTACGTTATAATAGGAACGAATAATGTATAATCATACCCGTCGTGCACTTCTTTCTTCAATACCCAAATAGCGACCATTTTCTCCTGTGCATCAAGTTTTTTCGTCACATCAATCGCCCTATCTCTATACGGAGACTTGATTGCACTCGCTGCCTTGATAAGCCTTTTCGGTCTTGGTGTCTTGACTACATCGCCAACTCGATCCAAAGCATCAACATTATCTGAAGAAATAGAAAAAATGAAAAAAATATGTATATATACGTGTACGAACAATCACGTAAAATTTACAGTGAAATGCAAGATAAATACAATTGGTGCACTAATAGTGCCTCTAATTACACGTGTATACCTGTATTTACACATTGACCAGCTTGTAGTCCAGAGCCTTCCACAGTCGGTGTCTTGTCAGACAAGCCAACACCAACTTCGTAGATGAACAAATGAATGTGTTAAAACATCATTGACGATGTGTATACAAGAGCGCACTACAAAATCTAACTCTACACAGTGTATGAATTATTAAAGCACGTACCGCTTTGCACACCCACAATAGGTGATGTCCCAACTACGTGTTTATCTCTGCTCACGCATGTACGCTGACACACGCCATCGTCAACATCATCGTCTGACGATAAACCTAACCCCAAGCTGTAGCTGGGCCCCTCAAAATGCATCCTCTTGAAGCGTTCACGACGCTCAATTGCATTCATAATATCATCGATTGCCGCCAATGTGTCAGGAGCGTTCCAGAATGCATCGTCTGTCTGTTGGGAGGCGACACCCTTAATGTTGTCCTTCACTACGTCATCTTTTGTTGCAATTGGGTCACACTGCTGACTAGTACCAGGTTGGTTCGGATTACCACGTGGCATTTTGCTGTACACACCGAGAAGCTTTTGAGCCGCCTCGTGCATTTTCACGAAGTTCTCATCTTCGAGTAGAAACTGCGGCGCCTTTTCAACCAATTGTAAAATCTCAACGCCGGTAGTCGCAAGAAGCCGTGTTTTAGACGCGAACTCATGAACATAAGCCTGACGAACACATATATTACGTCAATTAACGATAATGCACATTACTACACATATATTACAACAATTAGTGATAATGCACATTACTGAACAACTCAATGCACACTTCAACTGCAGAACATGCACAATATGTATTTATGAGCGTAATATGAAAAAATTAGAAAAAACATACATAAAGAGTGCACATCACATATGTTCAATAAATAACATTATATAAAGACACTGTTATACGAACACACTTTAAAGCACGTCTATGTACAAGTAGTGCACATAACATATGCACATAACATTCATCGATGCACATTAATGACATTCGCATCGCACTATACACATAAAAAAAATGCACATTTTATATTGATGGAAATAAGAAATAATTATGTACTGGTAATGTTCAGATAAAATTCATGTGTTCGTATAAACCACGAGTGTGGTTATGAAACAGATTCAGTGACGATTACTCAAAATGTAAATCAATAGATACCTGTACGCCCCGATTATCTGGGACCCCAGCAGTTACGTCATCAAATTTCATATCCAACTTATTGTCGTGGCAGGAATCGGCCGGCACTTTGAGGTCTACGTCAACGAACCCCCTCCCGAATGCTCCCGAAGTGATCTCGGCGCATTCTCTATCTCGTAAGGTCTCGTTGCTCCACGATCTGAACGTCGGAAACATCCTCGGTACCGATCTCACGGACAACACTACCTTGTCTACGTAAAATAGCTGCCTCAAAACAGTAAAATAGATGAATTAATGAATCAGCAACAAGTATATAGATATCGCATCGTCAATATAATAATAGTAGTAATGATTACAACAATTGAAAAATAAAGTCAGAAATTAACAAACGAGAATCAATCACTGAAAGGACAACTGACCGTCAAGAACAGTAATGGCCCTGCGTACTTCTTTTGTTTACCAGTGGCATCCCACGATCTCTTTGTGTCGACCAGGCATCTAATCATATATGAACACCAATTCATATTGCAAACATCCGATAAGTTCTCGAGCGCGTGGACTAAACGGGAGTTCGCCATTCCATTTAGGCAGCTCTCGAACAAGCACGATACCATAAGCACTATAAAATGCCGTTTGAACCAATCACCGCCATCCTCGCATTCATTGATCTTATCCAACACCTTTGACACAGTAATGTTTGACGGTCTTCTAACATCAAACAGAGCAATCCACTCATCCAAAAGATTAGACGTAGTTCTCTTCTTCTTATTATTAATCTCGATATCCCCGCGAGGCAAACCAAGCACAGCATACACGTCTTCTTCCTTGACGTGTACTTTCGCACCGCCGTACAGTTGAATCTTACGGTCCAGGTGATTGAAACTATTTACCAACCAAAACCCCATCTTCAACGGAGGTGTAGTTATGCTCAGATCCAACAAACGCCCAAACCCCATTTCACTAATTGCACTCTTCTTGACATCTGACAGACCAGCTATCGCCCTCACAAACATACCAGCTGAAGTCCTCGTACTCACTCTCGGGAACACTTCATCATCTTCGCTTTCCACGTAAATATCAGAATCCTCATCCTCATCGTGTTTGGCTTTAATGTCAGTGTCGGTCGTTTTGTGTTTGCCCTTATCTACAAATTAACAATCAATGATGAAATCGCCAAAACGTCAACTACATTATATGTACGAATCTATGCATATGACTACAGGAGCACGAAAATAATATCATGTACCATTCTGAGGTTTTGTGATCCCAGCCAGACAGCGTATGGGTACATCATCGACAAAATCGTCACCGTCGGACTGGCTCGTTATGCGTGCACCAACTTTGGGACGTTTTGGACAGACATCAATGTGCTCCGGTGCATCAAGTATTCTCTTCGACACTGTATGAGTACAACACACAAAGTTTATTTTTTTTTTTTTTTTATTNTATTTTTTTTTTTTTTTTTTGTTTTGAATCGTATAACTACAAAGGCGAGACCCATAAATTTTCTTATATTAATCTACCAGCGGGGACGAAGAGTGTACCTCATAACTTGTGACAATGGAAACACATATAAAACATGAATAAGCATTAATATACATATGGTATTTCGTAAGATTTTACCTTCTTGAGTGTTTTCGGGCTTCGTATGAGTGTCAATCTGATGTACTAAGGGCAAGCTTGTGCTGTGACGGGTACCATGCCGAGATTTTGCAATTTCGACCAAGTGGGATAGAGGTATGTCATCAACAAAGTCATCACTATCGGGCTGGCTCGTTGTGCGTGCAACAACTTCTGAACGTTTCGTGCGGTCACCAACACGTTCTGGTTCGACAAGCGTTCTGTCCAACATTGGATCTGTACATCAAACGAGGAGTCAACACACGTGTATAAAAGACAAAAGATAGGTAATAAAGAATAATCTAGACTATGTTCACAATATACATAGGAGTATATCATAAACAATTACCGCCTTGTATGTTATCAGGCTTCGTGGACGTGTCGATTTGTTGTACTGATGGCAGTTGTGTGCGACGTCGGGGCACTGACAAAGGATGTCAATCGTTATCAATAAGCCAATAGAAAATCGAAGTATCATGGAGACTAGTATATACATATTTATATCACAAACCTCTACGAACATCGGGCAGTTGACTCGTTGCACCTGTAACAACAGGCAGTCATACAATTGTAAATACGAGCACATATGTTCACGATAACGCTATAAAGTGCATCGTTATATACACAACGTACAGAACTATTCATATAACGTACCCCCTTCCCCATTGTGTGTGCCGCCCTCGCCATTAGGATCAGATATCTTGTCGATCGCCTTACGGGCAGTACCTGCACAGGATTAACGTCAAACATACGCATCGGAAACTTATGTGCGGAAATTGATGTAATTAGGCAATAGTTTCAAACTTAATCAATAGTACTATGCTCGAGACTGAAATCTACAAAGACATTGAGATTAGGACTGACATAGAATTGTATCCTTACAAACAAATCAAACACAGAATATATTAAAATCTTGTACTCATATGTAATGAAACATGAATAACAAACATATCATCTCATAATTTCAACATGTATTTACCAAATAAAAGGTATCAATAAGGCATAATCATTCACGGAAAAAACTAAAAGGTATCAATAAGGCATAATCTCATAATTTCAACATGTATTTCAACATGTTTAATAGGTCCTGAGCACGTAGGGTAAATCTNTTTTTTTTTTTTTTGTTTATTTTTTGTTTTTGTTTTTCTATATCGACAACGAGACGAGCAATGACACCTCGAGAAGATCTGAATAATAGGTATGAATTTGAACACAAAGATACCTCGTTTTCGCGATTGAGGTGAATTTCCCATATTCTGAAACGGAAGAACAGTTACTCATAAACCGTCGAAATCAATGACAACTATTGTGATTGCGCATCAGTTACACAATATACAACTGAAATCTGAGCTCAAAATTATATCGCTGTTTGGAAAACCGCCATAGTTGCCCAACAAGCTGCTTCTTCATTTAATATCTGACCTAGAGTGTGGGAATCGATTAATGTGTCTGAAATCCATCATTACCCCTCTGCTAATGTGGTAAAGACGACACTACCCTCCGACCTGTACGTTTGCCCGTCAATTTTTAATTTATTTACGACTATGCCACCGCGTGGTCAAACAGATCTAATTAATGTTGACTTTATCTGGATCGTTTATTTACCAGATCGGACGGTGTACAAGCTTTCTCATTTCTTTTATGAGACCTCATTCTTATTTGATCCTATTTCTTGTTATATGTGCTTAAAAATTATATTATTATGTGGACAATATAATTATATAAGTCGTACGAAATTATTGGTACTGTTCGATTCAGTTTCTGTAGAGTTCGATTTGCAATGCAGTTAATATTTTGAAAAACTGCCAAAAATTGGAGCGGTTCAATTTTGTGTTCAAATAGTGTGTTCTATCGCACCTCACCGAATAGTTTAAGCCCTAAATTGTCATTTTGTTACAGGTGTAAGATCAAACAATTCGCCAGCAAAGCAACATATTTTATCTTTTGGTCCCTTAACCCATCTGCATTTGAATACATCCCCAATCATATATCTGTTATTTGCACTCTCACCCCTGTCTATTTATTTGAGATGACCTTTGCGCTCTCGTTCGAGGGGTTTCTATCTCATTCACCTTCTCGAAGCTGAACTCATCGGCTCCCTGTAAAAAGCCGGCGCCTCAATACATTCAGGTATTGTATATGCATTATGACCGAGATTGCTATCTTGTGTGTTAATTCATGGTAATTTTTGTTTTCTTTTGCTTAACCAGCTAAATGTATATGTTACCAAGTGGTTGTGGTCTTTTGTTGTTCATCCGAAAAATTTGAAGCCTTTACACCTCTTGCACTTTTATGATTGATTTTATGAGCACCCTTTTCGTTATTTTTAGTGTATTTTGAATTTACGTTCTTGCTATTTGTGATTGTTGGTGTTAATTATTTTTTTTCTTTTTTCATTTTTGTCAGGTTTCTTTGAGCTGTACCATAAGCTTGAGGTAATTAATTCCTACAACTAATTACCTGCCTGTTGAATATTGTATTGATATATGTCTTTGCAGTGATTGTTCGTAATTGAATAAATCAATATTTGTGTTTACATGTAATTTTTGATGTGCCGACTTTATGGTTTTTTCAAGTAATTTATTGGTCAGTTATGTGGCTAGTTGGATCGTGTGGAATAGTTTTGCCAATATGTGATGGAGGGTCTTCCATTTTGATGTCGTGTCAGTAAAAACTTGAGCTTTGATGTCTTCATAGTTCCTATGCCCTTAATAAAAATATTTTAAGTATTGAATTCTTAGGAGGGATGTTGTAAATCTATGAGTAAGTTAGAATCATCTGCTTATGGGAAATGTGCTGTGCGATATAGCCGTAAAAAAAGTTTGCTTTCCCCCTATTCTCTATGTCTCTTCCATAGTTTAAAATGGCGACACCATGGCGACGCCTCGAGGCGAGGCGACCGAGGCGAGGGCCATATCGCCTCGCCACTGCCTGAGGCGACCCTGTTCGCGAGGCGCTCGCTTTAGGTCGCCTCTGCTCGCCTTTTCGAGTGGCGAGAGGCGCCTGTGAGGCGCGCCTCGGCGCCTTTCAGAGAAATTAAAGGTGCTGCCCATTTAAAAAGAAAAAAGAAAAGAAAAGCGTGCCAGTTTTTTGAAAGAGAATAAATTAAAACAGATCGAGCACTTCCTTCACTTCATCTCCCAGACCCACGAAGCAAAAAAAACTTCAGTGAAAAATCCCTAAATGGCTTCTCCCCAAACTAGAACTAGGGTTTCTGGGAAAGAACTCCCTAGGCTTCTCAGTTGCAGAAATCCACAGTCGACCAATCCCATTTCCGGCCTCCTCGGAACTCCGGCCACCATCTTGCCGCCGCCAAGACGGTCGGTGATGCGTGTCTTTTCCGTTCTTTTCCTTCTCCGTTTTCTCTATTTTCCGTTCCCCGCTAATCTTTTTCTTCTTTCTTTATTTTCTTACTTTATTTATGTTTACTAGTATTGTCAGCAGTCAAGGGTGATAGGGTGTACCATCTTTTCTTTCATTTTATTTTACTTTATATTTTTTATTTACCTTATTGCTAGTATTCACATTTAAGTTCTAAATGCTTTTAGTAATTACCACAAAATTTAATTTATGTTATTTTTTTTAGGATATTTAAGATTATTTTTGGCACTTAAACCTAAGTATATGATATTACTATATATATAATATATATTTTTAAGCTTTGATGGCTTGTGTTCGCGAGGCCTCGCCTCGTGGCGAGGCTATGGGTGAATCGCCTCGCCTCGCCTCGCCATTCGCCATTTAAAACTATGGTCTCTTGTGATTATTGGACCACAGTAAAAATAGTAGCAAGCTTCTGAGATGATTAACAGTCTCTCTATGATTAATGCTTATGATCCAATTCCTTATTAATGGCTTAAGTGCAAAAGATGCTATCAGACACAGTGCAACAATGGCAACATGCTTCAACCTTTCCATATTTTGCTGATAAGATCAAATTTCCCTTATCCTGACCCCATTTTGTTCTGCGCATCTTTAGCATTATTTGCATCAGTGGCTAGCAGGATGATACTCTTTCATTTCTGGGGGTTTTGGCTAAAATATTCTACAACTCTTGCAACCACTCTCTAATCTTATTACAAGAAACAAACCAGAATTCCATTTTTTTGGTTTGTAAAATTTTTGTATGTCATGAAGTTTGTGTCTGAGTTGGATGATCTTTTTTTATATTCGAGTTTTTATGGTTGCTTATTGCATCCATGTACCACGTAGTTTTGATGATAATCCCAGCCACATCATGATGTAGGCAACCAAGTGAAATTTATTGGCCAATTTTAGTTACTATCTCTTATAACCCGTGAAGCTCGTTATACAGTTTATCTGGAAATATTTGCTTCTCTCATGGCTTGTGCCTGCTTCTCATCCTGAGAACATGGATCCACAATTATATTGTGTAGTGGAACGAATTGGAGAAAATCAGTGTTCAGCGTATACTAGTGTGAAAACAGTATGATGAGCTTATACCAGAATTGAAGAATGAATGCTTCTCATCTAATTTCATGCATTTTTAGTTATAGCTACCATCAAATCCAAACTAAAGAATTGATAATTATTCCGCCTCCATAATTCTCGACTCAGTAGACACGAGAGTGAGACAGTACAATTAAGTGATGTTGTTTCAATACTTCTGCGTGGGAAGTTTCATATGTTGCTAAACTCAAGAAAATAGAGAATAACCGTGTTCATGTTTATGGTGATATATTTTGTTATTTAAGTTCTCATTATATAATTAAAAAAAATAAAAAGAGATGCAGCAATATTTATGTGAAGATAATTTAGTTATTAAAACATTAATGAAGGTGGTAGTAAACTCTCAATATATAATTTAAACCTTTAACATGAATTTTTCTTATTTTTCACTCCAGGCCATAGGATTTTTATATAAAAATACTAGGCTTGCTATTTTTACACCCTAAAATAGCCCAGCTTTTGTGGTTATGATGGCTTCTATCTAACTCATTTTCCTATTTTCAGAAAACTTCGAGCAAAAATGGCTTTGCGAACCGTAATTACCAAAAAACCCCTAAACCCTTCGCGATTGGGTTTTCGGGGACTGCAGACAGTGTCACTACCAGATCTTCCCTACGATTATGGTGCCCTTGAGCCCGCCATCAGTGGGGAGATCATGCAGCTTCACCACCAAAAGCACCACCAGGCTTACATAACTAATTACAACAAGGCTCTCGAGCAGCTTGACACTGCCATTTCGAAGAAGGATACTTTGACCATCGTCAAGGTGCAGAGTGCCATCAAATTTAATGGCGGAGGTCTTGAACGGCTCTTTCTTTCCCATTTTGCTTTGTTGAAATATTTGGTCATTTCTGTTTCGTTGGCTTGTTGGTAGCTAAATTAAGAATAATTTTAATGCAGTTGTAGAAATATGACTAGGGATTGTTGTAGTGAAATGACACCGGGGCCTTCAAATTGGACTCAATCATGGAGGAATTTGTTAAACTGATAAGCATCAATGCAAATCTGAATTATCACTTTCTATTTCTCATTTTGTGCATACTTGAATCTTGAAGCATCTGAAAACTGTCAAAGTATTATACCAGTCAGATAAATGGCCTTAAGGTGATTGAGGGAAAAACAAAAGTTTCTGCTGTATTTTTCGGTTGTTGGTGTACATTTTGCAAAAGAATGGTCTATAGAGAAAAAAGATTCAGTCTTTTTTTATGGGCATGGCTATATTTTTATGTCAGCTTGCGAAATTGCACTTGTTATCTTGTGGCATTTTTGTGATTTTAACATTGTCAAAGTGTTTCAAGTTCTTCTACTTGGATTTTCATCTGATGGTCCTTTGAAATGGGATGATTGTCTGCAGGTCATGTTAATCACTCAATTTTCTGGAACAATCTTGCTCCCGTTCGTGTAAGTTTATCTCCCACCTAATCTTTATGTTTTGTTGAAAGCTTTTATTGAAAACGCAAAAACCTCTGTTGCAGGAAGGTGGTGGTGAACCTCCCGAGGGCTCTTTAGGTTTGGCTGTGGAAAATGCATTTGGGTCATTGGAGGGGCTTATTCAGAAGATGAATGCAGAAGGTGCAGCTTTACAAGGCTCCGGATGGGTGGTAAATTTTTTTTTTTTTTACTTTTATCATATATTTTTTGTAATTCACGTTCGCACAAGATGTTTGACAGATTTTGTTAATATCTTTCCTTTTTTTTTTTCAAATTTTTTTTAGTGGCTTGCTCTTGACAAAGAACTGAAGCGCCTGTCGGTCGAGACCACCTCAAATCAGGTAAGAAACATAACTTTTTATGTCGATTCTCTTTTGGCTTCTGGTTTTTTTTGGATTTGTGATTTGGAATCTGCTTTACTATATAATTTTACTGGAGTTCACGATCTAGCTTTTGAATATATTTATTCTAATTAGTGTAGAATGAGATTTAGATTAGGTTTTTAATTTTTTGAATGTGTCATGTGTTACGTTGTCATAATGTTGAATGTTGTCAACAACCGAAGAACGACTATATCAACTTTAGAATTACTGCTTGCATATCCCGAATAATTGAGCGGGTGAAGAATCTCTATTCAGTGTGCCTTGTGAAGAACTTGAAGGCGTTTATGTTAATTACTGGATGTGTAAAGTGTAAACATGATTAATCTTGATAGTTCATGTCTGAATCTCTCACTTGAAAAATGAAAGTTATATATCAATCTCCTTTTTGCAGGATCCACTGGTTACTAAAGGAGCAAGTTTGGTTCCATTGCTTGGTATTGACGTGTGGGAACATGCCTACTATTTGCAGGTAGCTTTTCTTGTATCAATTACTGACTGTGTTTGGTAAAACTAGCTTATAAGCTAGCTTATAGCTTATAAATGATTTTTGAGCTTATAACTTATAGCACTTATAGTTGAAAACCTAGCTTATATTATATGATAAAAGTGTTCTGTAACATTAACTTATAAGCTAGCTGAAATAAAAAGTTCAACCAGCTTATTTGAAAAAGCTTCCCAATGAAGCTTGTGAGATAAACTCGAGTTTTTTAAAAAAAATGCTCGTCCTACCAAACGAAATTTATTTGAATACATGAAACTTATAAATTAACCAAATAAGCTATAAGCTAGCTTATTTGGTTACCAAATATAGCCTACATCTTTCATTAGGAGCCAAATCAGTGCAAATTCCTACTAATCATTTCTTGGATAAGAATATTGGGATTATGATATTGTTGCCTTTTTAACTACTACTACATTGTAAAATGTTTTATTTTCTTGTTTGCTTGTTTTCCTATTTATGTTTCGCTTGCTTGCATGTTTTGTACAGGCATTTGTGATAGTTCTTCTAGACTTCTAGTTTAAATGGGTCGGCATACTTTAATTTATTTATTTTTTCTTATTATTATTTTTTGCTTGTATTCGGAAAATACTGATATGAATATTGGTCGTGCAGTACAAGAATGTGAGACCAGAGTACTTGAAGAATATATGGAATGTGATGAACTGGAAATATGCGACCAGTGTGTACGAAAAAGAGCGTGCTTGAGTGGACAACTCTTTCATTGTTCGGCAAATGGTGGTTTTCATTAGTTGGTCTAAAAGACTTGAGTTGTGTATGCAGGAAATAAATTTGTGAGGACATAAATAAGCAGGTCCTTTTATTATCTAAACATCGTGCTCGTTGCACAATCGTATCCAATTTGGTTTTCATTCAGTCGTTTAATTAATTGCTACGAGTTTTTTTATTGGTGAGAATCGTTAATGTTGCTCCTTTCTACTACAATCTTTCGGTCGATTTTAGCAATCTGTTCTGGGAGTTGATATACTCTCAATAATGTTTCAACTACTGTTCATATCTTGAATAATATGAACGATGCAATTGCAAAACTGCATGAAATGTAGCGAAAATCTTTTAACTTATTGTAAATTTATAGACAATCTTGATCAATTAGTTTAACAGGTTGGTAGAATAGTTTTATATTTTGCAACTGTAAAGCGAATGAAATCATGAGCGCTCTTAAAACATTTTTTGTGGCTTACATTAGATGTTGTAGTTTTGTATAATCTCAACAAAAAGGTCTAGTTTCATAATCAAACCAATAAATTACTGCAAACAATGTACATATACCAAAAGATGAAACAAATCAACATATAGAATTCTTCTCCACAAGAGAGCCGTTAATGGTGGAAAGTTGGGAACAGACAGTAGAGTTGAGCGGAAGCTGCACGCTGACAACACAAGAAGGTAAAAGTTGCGGCAATCTTTGGACAGTGATCGTGATGTCGAAAAGTCCAATGTTACTGGTTGTTCCTTGGGCGGTGGTGGTTAGTTGATCACTATATACAATTCAACCTCACGGTTACTCCTCCAATACCCATGCCAAAGAATCGCGTAGGTGTCGTTAGTTTCGGAAAGTTGTCCGTTGTGATAGGATGCCATTTTGAGGTTTGTACAGATTGGTGGATACTTTGTATATAATGTTTGTTTGTTTGTTTGAGAAATGTAATACAAGTGCCACTATTTATATACATGCTTGCTTATCACATTCTTCCTACTTTTCCAAGTGTATGGTATTAAAAAAAATTATCTTACCCTATTAATTATACTTGATGTCAATTGGGAGTTAGGCTTCTTCACCCAATTGATCTTTATTTTTATTTTTATTTTTTGTTGTGTGAAATGGCAAAGGCCGGTTCATATATTGACTTGTGAGATTCTAAAATGCACCAGTGGATATAGTTTCATTACTTTGAAGCCCGGTAGGCTGAGGGGTTGGATCTCTTGTTCTATTTTTATTATTCATCTCGTGTTTCAGTCTGTTGGATACGTTACTCGTGTACAATTATAACGTCACAAATACAAGATGGAATATAAAGTTTGAAAAATAAATTAATCTCGCGCCATATTCGAAAGATCATAAGATAAGAGCATCTCCAATGGTATCTTGTTCATTTTGAGTTTCATGGCATGAAAGAAGGAGATTGAAAAATTGTGTCTCCAATGGTTAATGTTAAAAATGGTTTAATTTGACATGTGTAAATTTATAATTGGTTGAAAAGAAGAAATAAATTAAATAAATAATATAATATGTAATAGAAGTTGTCTAGAAGCACTTCTACTTCTAGAAAGACTTCTAGAATTTTTTTAGGTCACATAAGTTTTCTTGTGCCATGTGGCAACAAAATGAGGCAATCCAAATGTCATTGGAGATGCTCGTATGCTAAATGTGGCATCCAACGGTCGGTTAGTAGAGGATTTTGGGGCTACTCGTGGTCAACTGCAACGGGAAATAGTTGCCTACTGCAATTTGATCTTTTAAGTATTTTGTATAATTGTGTCTTTTAGGTTAATAAATGGAGCTGACTTAACTTTGCAAATAAACCTGCCAAATATCACTTGGCAAAGTTTATTCTTCTGGATTTTCTTGAAAGCAAAATCCACCAACCCTAGTGGAGAAAATTCAATTTGAGGCGCCTATCCTATATAGTTTATAATTATAGATATCATAATTAAAGATTTCCTATATAGATAAGATATTGGTATTAGAATTATACTAATTGTTTGATTATTTTTTTAATTTAACATGAGAAAACTGTGGTTGAGAAAGATTAAAGAACTAATCTATACTTATATTAAAGAGAGTCCTATTTACCAAATTTAGTAGTTAGAAAAGTCGACAACATTTATTGCCATTACTATTTCCGTATTATACAGTTTTATTTAATATTTGTTTTTCTGTTACGATTTTTAAAAACAGATATGGTCAAATTCTCTCATCATTAATTACAATTTATTTATTTATTATTTTTTTAGCAAAAATGGACCAACATTAATTGATTTCCTTAAAATGTGAAAGTTGTTGCTTTATTTTTGTACAGAAAATTGAGCTTCATTATAGAAATTTGTTCAATTACACAATGAATTTGCTATGATATAATTATTTTTTATGGGAACATTTTTTTTTAACAGAAAAATATGGCATTTCAATAAGATTTTCGATTTTTAAAGACTGATTGTTATCATGCTATGAAATTGAACATTCCAATATGCCTTAACAAAATATACACGTGGTGTATACATCAATTAATAGAAATATAGAACCCTCATATTCTTATATATATATATATATATATATATATATATGTATTTTTTCTATTACCAAATTTAATTGATAGTTGTTGTATTATGGGTTTTTTCATAATTATTACTTGGTTGTTGTGATGTTTAAGTTTGGTTGGTGTCGCAAAAATTCTAATCTATATATATAATAAGAATAATCATTACAATGCAAATTAGAAAAATATTGATATTAGAAGAGATTGAGTTCATGGCTTTTCTTAAATCAAAGTTGTTTAATTAGTATACAAAATTAAATTCTAAAACAATATATGTGTATATTTTGCACATTATTTATACACTATTTAATTTTAAATTTATTTACATATTTTAAATTGATTACTTATATAAATAATACCAACGTGCATTAAATATATTTCATTACATAAAATAAAAAGAAAAAAGACGTGCAACTTGTATAACTTATAAATAATAATAACATTATATGGCAACAGAGTTTAATAATTAACTATTATATAGTGAATAAGAATAAGTAAAATTGTTAATTTCTCTTATATCAAGGAATAAATATATATAATAAAAGTAAATTTATATTAGTATAAATGTGTTAGTGAGATAATATATTAATTATTTTACAAGTTAGCCCTAACATGCTCACGTTTAATGTTCAGACTAATAAAACAACGCTGATTAAAAGATGTGAAAAATAGATTACAACTCTATTTTTTTTAGACTTAACGGTGGTTAAAAGAAGTGAAAAATAGATGATAACTCTTTTTAGACTTAAACGAGACTTAACGGTGATTAAATAGGTGGAAAATGGATAATAACTCTTCTCAGACTTAAACGGACAGAGCCTGTGAAAATAATTCATTTAATATCTCTCTCTCGTGCATCGCACGGGGTACGTACTAGTATCTATTTATGGATCATGTCCGGCCGCGATTGAGATACTGCTCGCATACGTAATAGGAGGTCAAATTTATGGCCGGATCCATAGATAGATTGTGTATATATAAGATATTGTTCATCTAGAATTCCAATCTTAATAGATCTTAATCTTTGATAATCTAACGCAATGTTATACTCCTAGAATTTAATTTGGTATAAATCTTCATCTATATCTATATATAAATATTTGATTATTTTTTAAATAATAACTATTTCTCTCCAAAAAAATTCTATTTACTATTTCAAGAAATTGATTTAATAATTTATGGTATATTTTCAATAATCACTTATAGAAATCGCGGCTCATTGTGTAAGGAAATAGTTAAGCCATAAAAAATACACTAGTGTTGATACCCGTGTGATGCACGGAGTATAATACCATAGATATTTTACTCTATAAATATTATTAAACTATTAAAGACAATATGCAATTCTCTTCTACACAATATTTAATTTAGTACTGTTATAAAATTTATTTATTTACTATATTAATTTTTTTTTATTTTTAACTTTTTTTAGGCTTTGACTATTTAAGATATAAAACTTATTATTTATAAATTTATAAAATATTATAAATGCATATGATCATATGATATTTGCTTGCAAATTATTTACATGTACTTATAAAATTATCGATTATTTCTTATAACTTTTTTAACAATTCATAATATATATGGTATAAAGTGAGCAAATTTATTTAAGTTATTTGATGACTGTCTTTTATTAGAAAAATTTGTTGAAAAAATAGTCAATACACAGTGTACTTTTTTCTGTAGAGCGCAAGCCAATATATTAGTTTTTACGCGTGTGTTTCAATTTTTATTTCAATTTTTCATATGAAATTAACATAATAAAATTACTGTAACTCCGACTAAATAATATGAACGGATATTTTACAGAAAAAGCTCTGGTAAATTTTTTTTATATAATTAGTGGGTCTCGATTTAATTCATTTTTTGATACAACATTTCAAATAATTTGTGTGAAATGAATTTTTTTTACATGATAAAGAGTGTTGACTTTTTTGGAATAAAAATTTTTATGACTGATTGTTTTTACTCAACTATTTAAATGTTTTGATTTGGATATTTTATACAAAAATAAATTTATTTTAATTAATGAAAGCATATAAGTTTTATATTTGTACTCATTATTCACATAGGTTTTTAAATATATAATAAAATTTTACCAAAATAATTATTTTATGGAATCACGTTATTGTCATATCGAATTTTTGAATAAAAATTTTGAAATGACACATGGTTTGAAATGAATATAATGTAATTTATTATTAGTTATGTGCAACGCACGAGTTGTATACTACTTTTAAATATATATTTTTATGTAATTTTGTAATATTTAAATTTTATATAACATTTTCAATATATTAATATAGGTACATTGTGTTACATATTGATTCCATGTTTTTAATTTATAAATATTATTTAATGAGAATTTTTAATTTATAAATATAGAACTTGCACATGGTCTTTATCGACCTTGAGAAGGCTTATGACAGAGTACCGAGAAATGTCATGTGGTGGGCCTTAGAAAAGCACAAAGTCCCATCTAAGTACATTACCCTCATCAAGGATATGTACAAGGATGCAATGACGTGTGTCCGAACATGTGGGGGCGACACTAGCGACTTTTCAATTAAAATAGGACTACACCAGGGGTCAGCAGTGAGCCCTTATCTATTTACCTTGGTGATGGATGAGGTCACAAGGGACATACAAGGTGATATCCCTTGGTGTATGCTCTTTGCTGATGATGTGGTGCTAGTTGACGAGAGTAGAGCAGGAATAAATAGGATGTTGAAGCTGTGGAAGGACGCGTTAGAGTCGAAAGGCTTCAGAGTTAGTAGGACGAAGA